CTATTTGGTTACAAAAAAAAAAAAGCTAATATTTTTTAAGTTGAAATTAATTTTAAACATGGATGTCCTAAAATCCAGTTTATTGTCAAAGAATCCTTGATTGTCATCCTGCTGGGTTCACATGGATTCAGAAGTTGTTTCTAGAAACTCTAGGATGACCATCAGATGGTTCCCATTGAGTCCAGGATGCTTTGCAGAATGCCTTTGTCTATCCTGGGAGATGGCGGGGAGGGGGCAACTACACCTTGTTGGTGCAGGGAAGGGTAGGGCTGGTGAGACTGGGTGTCCTCTGGGCTGCACCCTAGTAGGGAGAAGAAAGGCATTCTTAGCTGGGGACTTCTTTAGGCCTTGCTTTCTTGCTCATATCTAGAAAGGCATGGTTTGCGAAAAGAACGAACTCCAAAAGAATGCTCTGCTCTGCTGGCCCCCAGACATTGGAAATTAGCCAATATGAGAGAGCTAGGTGTTTGGGGGGCTATTTCGTGGAATTTTTAACAGTTTCTATGCAAGGAAAATTTAAAAAGAAGATGAGGAGCATGAGTGGCCTCATTCATGCAATTTCTTTCAAGATGCACTCTAGATGCTGTCATACCTCCTATCTCTGACCCCAGAGAAGGCACTGGACATTACATAGCCATAGAGAAAGAAGAGACAGTACCTGGATGGACCTTATGAATAGCCGGGGGAGAGGGCAGGAGTATGAGGAGTACAGAACAGGAGTGCTGCCTGGTTGGGCTCAGCTCCAGGATTATGTGGGAGGCTGTAGGGAATCGTGGGTCTTGGGCCATGCATCTGCCCTGCTCTTGCCCCCAACACACTCATGCCCCATGGATGGTCAGGCTTCTGATTGCATGGGAATGTAACAAGCCTTCTGAGGTTCTGGTCTGGGTGCAGTTGTCATCACCACAGAGGATCAGGGAGATGCAACAGAAAAAGGTGTAAGATTCATGTTAGCTGAAGTCGTGGGGGCCCTAAGAAATCATTTAATCTGTCATCCTCTTCTACAGGAGTAGAAGGAACACTGAGGCACAGGAAAATTTGCTGATCTGGTCAAAGTCTCACGGTGTATTAGAAGCAGAGCCAAGAGGAAACCTTGGCTTCCTGATTTCCTGTTCTAGCATTTTCTCCCCTCACAGTTTCCTTGGGCTTATTTTGGCTCTTAGGACATCTCCCAAATGTCTTCCCCATGGATTCTCCTAACAGTTTATACTAAAATTTTATCATCCTGTGGGTCAGTCAGTCCTTTCTAGTATCTGTCATCTATTATGCTCAAATTTGAAACCACATCCTCTCATGCTATGCTCAAAATCATGGGAGAATAATTGCTTAGCACCCTCCTCTTAAAAAATCCTTCACTTAATAGAATACTATAATCAATCACATGTAGCCTTTATTGCTCTTTGAAAATTAATATCTGGAAAATTCATGGGTGTATCTGGATCTATTAATAAGACAAATCATGTCTTTTAATTTGGTGATGAGCTCAGAGCAGCCATCGCCACCTGGTGGCAGTGTACCCTAATTACAAGAGAAGTAAATAAAAAGACACTGCTTTCCAGAATGCAACTTTGGAGCTAGAAAATGGAGGCAAACGTTCTACCCCTAGGCAGATCCAAATGAAAGCATCAAGAACAAAATAATTAGAACACATGTTCAAGTAAATTATTTCTTTTCTACTATATATTTATTCATTAATTCATCAATTAATATTCAGGTAAAAGAACAAATATTTGTACACGACTGCCTACTATGTGCTAGGCATTGTATCAAGTGTTTTACATATGTTACCTCATTTGATTCTCAATATACAACCCAAAATATTGTTTCTATTTTACATATGCAGGGAAGTTAACAGGGAAATCCACACGGTCAGCATGTGAAAGCAACTCTTCAGGTCAAGGACTAGACTTGTCGTTCTTCCTTCACTGCCTCCTGATTCTGCAGAGGCCTAAGTGCTCATAGTAACTGTGCTCAGCAGACACATCCCTGCCCCTCACCATACTTGTTACTGGCTGCTGCTTATTTCCATGTAATTGTTAGATGACTAATCTAAGCTTCACCTGGACTTTTAGAGTCTGTTCCTTTGTTCCTTTGTTCTTGGCAGTTGCAGCTATGTTATCCTTCACTGCTGTGAGATGGGCATGGAAGAAAGCAAATCCTGGGGATGGAAATTTGACAATTCGACAGGAGCTAAGCTGTCTCAGGTTAAAAGGCAGAAGGGCAGGCATGTCCTGAAAACGCCTCTGCCCTTGGGCACCGAGAAGGCCCTGCTGTGCCATGCCTCAGGCACAGGACCTAGAGCGCCCAATTCTGTGCTCCAGACTGAGTCATGACTTCCTGCCAGGCTGCCTCTGACTAGAATGAGAGAGGGGCAGTGCCCTGGGATATGGTCTGGCATAAGACAGGACAGTGGTGAGTAATGGGGGATGGATCTCAGACATATGCTGAGTGTTTTCCAGGCCCCCTATTAGGGAACCCAACTGCATAGATGATGGTACCTTTTTGGGTGGGGAGTGGAAAAGTTTCTAGGTGATTCTGCTGCATGCCCCAGAGGTACCATTTGTTTAATAAACAAGTGAAAGGCTGAATGTGCCTTGTTGAGGATTTGCTCGGGATGGGCTATGACTGAGAGACCTCCTAAAGGAGTCCCTGAGACCCTGAGGCATCCCACAATGAAGTCCTGGGACAGGAGCAGGGAGGTTGTATTGAGTTATGGGACCACGTTATTCCACTGCCTCCTAGTAAGAAATCTCTTTTTTCTACACTCCCTTCCACTTGGCACCTCCGTTAGTGCCCAACTTGCATTCCTCCTTGAATCAGCTATTTCTATGCATCCGTCTGTCTCCCCAGGCAGCACACATCACTATGGCACAGGGCCCAGGGCTTACTTCCTTGTTCTCCATAGTGCCTGGTCCCGGGCTTTGCCTCTAGTAGACAATGTTAATGTTTGTGGTTGACCTAAAGGAGGTGTTCTAGACCCAGATGCCTACTGGGGGCCCATAGGTTTCATAACCAGGTGAGGTTGCCTGGTGGGGACTCTGTGAATAGGTGAACTCCTGCCCCATCTAGCTGTATGGGCATTGCCTCATCTTCTGGATTTTCACTGGATAAAAATCCCCAAGTTTTAAATGTTGACAAAAATGCATTTTTTTCTTTTACAGCTCTGTATCGGCCAAATAAAATCAATCTGGCTCTCAGATGCATTAGAGACTTCAAATTAAAGCAGCACAAATAGCCTAAGTATGCCCTAATCCTTTAAAAATAGTTTCTCAGTGCCCATACCTAATTATGTAGCTCTTGGCAATTGAACTGTCTTTCAAAGAAGTGAGTATGTAAGAGCACCCACTTCATAGGAAAGAAAATTTTATGAAGTTGTTCGAGTCAGAACCAGAATCCTAATAAAATGTATTTTATGAAGTTGGTGAGAACATTGCAATCTGGGTACCGTTTTACAGAGCATAGAACTAGTACACATTGTAAATATGAGGTCTCTGACTGGCCCTCAGCCTCTCTTTTGGTGACAGGTGTGACAACTCCTCCCTTTAAGAGTCTCCTGGGAAGCTTCCAGGACAGGGTGGGATTTAGTGACCCTGGCTGCGATACCCTGGCTGCGATCCCCCTCCAGTTCATTTCTGGATTGGCTCATTACTGTAACGGCAGTCTCCAGCCAGTCACTTAACAATGCAGGTGTTATCAGGAAGGGTGGGTTTTGCACCACAATGCCTGCGCTATCTTGGGGCTTCTTCTGGGGTATGGGCCCCTTCCCTGGTTTCCCTCCCTCTCAGAGCCCCCTTCTTCAACTACATCTCCCCTCATTCCACCAGGAGAGGCTGTGTGTATCAAGAAGTGGGCACAGAGTGATGCTGCTTGGGTACTGGTGGCTTCTCCCACTTCCAGGGAGTTTTCATGGTTTCCAGGAAAAGCTCTGATGTGGGTGGCAGGCAGTAGCCAGGACATCTCTAGAACATAGGTTAGATGCTCTGCCTGTCCCAGCCAAGTTCAGACCCAGCCAGGAAGTCTTAGAGGAGCAGGGCTTCCTGTACCAGGGCCCTTGTTCAACCTGCTGCTCATGCTGCTGGTGTCACTGCTGCCCCTCAAAGGCTTATGTCCTGTCACTCTGTAGGTGGGACGGGAGGGAGGTATCAAGGTTGCTTACCGCTGAACACTGCTGAGCTCAGGTATTTTGCTTTCTAGGGAGGCTTCACAAGGATGGGGGCAGTAGGATGAGAGATTCCTGAAAGGAGGCAGGGGTGACTACATCATAAAAAGATTTCCCCTACTTATTTCACTGATGTATTTGATTTAAAAGCTCACTCTTTGGAGTGAACACCCTCTCACTCAGAAGAGCTGACTGAAACTGTGAGAAGAGTGTAAATGTTGAATCAGGCGCACAATCATTTGAATTCTGCTTTGGCTTACTCTCTGCATGACCCTAAGGAAATGTGTCCTCAGTTCCCCCCCCGCCGACCTGTAAAATGGGTTTAATAAAATATCCCTTTCCTCCTAAATGGGGCAACTTGGGGTGATTGGTATAGTGTCTGGCGTAGTCTGGATTTAAATTCTCTTATTTCTTTATTCATATGGGTTGTTTGCCACTTAACGATATTCCCCTTTGTTTTTTCTTTTCTGAACTCATTTCCAAAGAGTTTGAGAGCTGGGGAAAGGATAAAAGTAAGGGGACATCGTAGACATCCCCACACATTGTCAGAGTGGTGCTGTAGTCTGGTTGCGATCCCCCGAAATTCACATGCTTATGACCTAACCTCAAAGGTGATGGTAGTAATAGCTGGGGCCTTTGGGAGGTAGTTAGGTCAGTCATGACAGCGGCCCCTTCATGAATGGGATTAGTGCCTTGTAAAAGAGACCCCAGAGAGCTAACTTGCTGCTTCCACCATATGAGGACACATGAAGTGGTTGCTGTCTATGAATCAGAAAGTGGGTCCTCACCAGACTCCAAATCTGCTGGTGCCTTGATTTTGGACTTCTCAGCCTCTAGAACTGTGAGATATAAATTTCTGTTGTTTATAAGCTACCTATTCTATAGTATTTTGTTATAGCAGCCCAAACAGATAAAGACAGTTGGGCTCCTAGGAGACCTCCCTTACACCAGCCTCACCCCAGTTCACTCTTCTGTGCTAGTGCCATCAGAGCCCTGTTCATCCAGTACCTACTCCATCCTGGGCCTGTGCCATTCCAATACCTGCAGTCAGAAGATCCTTCCTGAGGCACCCATTAGAAAAACCAATTCTTCAAATTAAAAACAAAACCCAAAATTCCTCTAGGTTCCATTTAATTGAGTAAAACCCAGTCCTATTTCCTTAGCTTCGCTTTCCATGGGCCTCCTTAATTACCTACAACTGACTTTTCTAACCTTCTCTATCACCAAGGCTCTAAAATAAGACAACTTGCTCTTCTTCAAACATGTCTTTCCTATCTCCACACCTTTGATTGTTCAAAGCTCTTTGCCTGGAGTACTTTTCCCATGTTTCCATCCTTTAATATCCCACACATCTTTAATGGAGTGGTTCAAGTGGCTTCTCCTCCATGAAGCATGTCCTCACCCCTCCTTTGTGCTATTAATGATGGATTCATTACACTGATATATGATATAAACTCATACAGTGTTATTAGTTTATGTAATTGTATTACTGTTAAGGAAGTTAGAGAAGACATAGACTCTTTATATTAACCCACATATTTACCATTTCCAGTGCTTTTCATTTTTTTCCTCTGTTTTCAAATTACCTTCTGATGTCATTTCTTTTAATCTTGAAAAACATTCTTTAGAATTTGTTTGTATTTTATGCAGATTTGCTGGTGACAAATTCTCTGGCTTTGGTTGTCTAGGAATGTTTTTATTTTGTCTTCATTTTTATAGGATAGTTTCACTTCTTGGATATAGAATTCTACGTCCAATTCTAGGACATAGAATTCTTGGTTGATAGTTTGTTTCTTTTAGCACTTTGAATATCATTCCATTACCTTTGGGCCTCCATTGTTTCGGAAAAGAAGTCATATTGATCACATTGATGTTTCTCTGTATGTTATTTTCTTTTCCTTTGTGGCATTGAAAATGTTGTCTTTGTCCTTAAACAGTTTGACTATGATGTATCTAGTTGTGGATCTCCTTGTATTACCCTAGTTGGAGTTCGTTTGGATTTTTGGATGTGTGCAGATTGATGTTTCTCATTAAATTTGAACTGTTTTAAACCATTATTTTTCAAATGTTTTTATTTCCCCCTTTCACTTTCCTATCTGGAAATTTTTTTTATCACAGGTATGTTGATGTGCTTGATGTTTATCAATGGATTTCTGAGGTTCTGTTGGCTTTTACTTAATCTTCTTCTCTGTTTTTTAGACATGATAATTTCCATTGATCTATCTTCAAATTCATTGATTTTTTAGATCTTTTGATCTTGAATTTTCTGTTGAGCTCCTCTAGTGAGGTTTTCATTTCAGTTATCGTTCTCTTGAACTCCATAATTTATGTTTAGTTTTTAAAATAATTTCTGTCTTTTAAGAGATGATCTCTATTTTTCTGTTCCTTATTGTTATACTTTCTCCAGTTATTTAAAAATGGTTTTATTTAGGTTTTTGAGCATATTTATAAGAGCTACTTTGAAGTTTCATCTGCTGTATCTAATATCTGAGGACTCATAGATAGTTTCTATTGATTGCTTTCTTTCTTGAGTATGAATTATGCTTTCTTGTTTCTTTGGATGTGTCATAATTTTCTGTTGAAAATGGGACATTTAAGGTAACGTATTGTAGCAACTCTGGGTCTTATTTTTCCCCCTGAATGATGATGTTGTTACTGGTTTCTTTGTTTGTGAGTAACTTGCTTGGGCTAATCTGTGAAATATGTCTTCTCTATGGTATGTGACCGCTTTTGTGTTGGTTCAGATTTTAGCTTTAATTTTTGTTTTTATTTTTATGTCTTGCTTCTTAGAGGTCTGTGTAGGTTAATGGTCTGCCAATGATTAGACAGAGGTTGTGCTCAAGCACCTTGAGCCTCAAGACTTGCATTCTCTGCTGTTGGATCTGTGTGTAGGAAGGAAAGCACATTCAAAATTCAGGTCATTTTGAAGTCTGCTCTGGCTTTGACTTTCCAGTGGGATCTTTCACCTGTTCTACAAGCAAGCATAGCCTTAGGGCTGGCCAGGAGTATGTGGCTATGTTGGCTCCTCTCTGGCCTTCATTGAGTATGTGCACATCCTCAGCCAAGTATTTGCTTGCCCCAATCACGCCATGGTCTCACCTGCTGAGCGCGTCACTTGTACTGATGCTGCTGCTGGATGTGGCATAACCAACCACTCCAAATCAAGTGAGTCCCCTTTGACCCACAGCTTTGATGATCTTCATGCTGTTTCCTGCCCTAGCAAAACCTTCATATCAACAGAGCTCAGGGGAGGGTGAGGAGGAGGGTGCATTTCTAGGCAAGAATGCCACAGGTGCACACTATTCTTACTCAAACTCCAGTCTTCGATACATAAATACTTCTCAGATTGTTGAACACCTTTAGTTAATTTCCAGGATACTGAGATGGTTGTTTTTGTCACTTTTACTCATTTTTTCTTTTTTCAAAGAGGGTTTGCTTGCCTCCTCCCTCTGCTCTAGCCACAAGCCTCTACCAGTTTACATGTGTTTTGATGTGACAGACTTTTCCTGGCTGTGGAGTCCCTGGAGAGCCTGAGTTTCCGCCCCCAAACAGTTCCACCTGTATCCACTTCAGATTTGTCTGTGAATCTTCAGTGCATGGCATGATGCCTGGCACCAATCAGGTGCCCAACAAATGTTTATTGCCCTCATAATCTGAAAGATGACAGACAGAGAGTGTTATGCATTTGGATACTGGATGTGGAGTATTCTACAGACCTGGCTTTGGGTCGGTAGAATGCTGTTGATCCTTAGTTTCTCATTTGTAAAATGTCAAAAATAAAACTTAATTCTTGGAGTAGTTGTGTGAATGAAAGAAGATGTAGAAACCATCTAGAACAATACTTGTCATGGAGTAGTTTTTTTGTAACTATTAATTTCATTTCTTTCCATAAGATGTGGGATTGATGAAGATAATATGCCTTGGGTGATCTGGCTTATCCATCCATTCAACTAGCCATCCATCTACCCATCCATCTTGCTGCAGATGCAGTGATAAATAAAATAAGATTGTATTCTGGAGAAACACATCTAGTGGCAAAGACAGGCGTAAAACATAACTTGCAAAGCTGTGGGCAATAGCTACAACTGGCATGAGTGAAGAAGTGCATGCTCCATGGCCACAGGAGTGACATTTGGTATAGAGATCTGGTGTCCATGCTTCTTTGCTGTGGCTTCGAGGTCTCTGGTCCAGGGCGGAGAGTCAGGGGTGCAGAGAGATCAGACCACCCAGCCACATTCTGCATCCCATAGAATTCTTGTGTGAGGAGATATCCCAGCAGACCTTAAGCAGTAACAGTCATAGATATGCTCACATTGCCTCTCTAGGAGGTAGAATTTTATTTTTCCTGCCACAATCATTTTATCCACTGTTTTGTTCCAAAGCGCTCACATGTCACAGTATTTCTGTGGAGTTGAGGAGCATCTAGCAAGCTCTTATTCCATTTTGTTCATGGAGGATGCACCCTGCCCTCTCTTAGGGAAGTGGAACTACCCACACAATAGCCCTCTGTCCCCTCTGCCTACTCACACAGACACGTACTTTGGAGGTGGAGGTTTTTTGTGCCCAGATCAAAGAGGTCTCATGATCATTTCTCTTCACACCTGCAGAGGGTCTTCTGATGTGGGCCACACCTTTGGGGAAGTGGGGCTGCCAGCCTGTGCTTGGGAGTTGTATCTCCTCTGATCAGTATGTTTCATCCTTCAGGCACTGCCTCTCCTTGGAGGCCCAGGGGACAGGTGAGCAAGTTTTCCCTGTGTCTGTTCACCAGGCAGTAGGGCTCCTAGCTGTGTGTTAAGCCAGCAGCAATTTTTCTTTGCAAATACACACCCATTTTAGAAGTTGAGGGCTCGGTGTTGTGGCCGAACAGAAGCCCATTATGAAGTGGTTCATTGCTTGCACGTTGCGATCTGCCAGGGCAGGGCTCTGAGGCCCCATTTCGAGAAATGTTAGTGCAGTCCAGTGGAGCCCAGGTTGCCCATAATGCTGCCTTTGCGATACCTTCCAAGCCTTGCATTGTTCCCTCCACGCACATCAGCAAGAGCGTTGCATGGGTGCTCCTTTGCTTGCCCTGGGAACTTTATAGCCCATATTTACTATTCATTATTGTTTCCAAAGTACATCTTGTGTGATGCCTGTTCAGTGGTAAAATGGCCTTTCCCACTTCTTCTCCATGGAGTTCTTCAAAATCTGCTCCTGCCTGAGGGTGGGGGAATGATCCTCTTCATGAAAGTCTTTGCAGAGGGGATGGAAGCCTTGCTCACCTTTGCAGGAGGTGTTTGGGAAGGAAAGGCGTGGGGGCAAGGCAGAGCAGGCAGACTGAGTGTTCTTGTGGGACGCTCTGGTGGGATGGACCCTGGTCCATCATTGAGGTTGAAACTGAAACCTCTGGGTGTTTACCCGGCGAAGTTACCCGGATAAGGAATGGGCCGGGAGGGTCATGTGATGGGAGTCAAGGCAAAAACAAAAGAATCCATTTATTATCCTGGCAGGAAATTTGTTCCTTTGGATTCTGTAGCTGCAGACATAATGATTTCATTTCCTTCGGTGGCGGGAGATTAATAGCCCTTACCCCTGGGCCTCTGTGGATTGCTGTTTCCTCCATTTCCCTAAGTGTCGTCAACTCTGGTAAGCATTCCTTTCTGAGGGGTCAGAGGGTACGCGCCGTTTCACGCTGATTAACAGAATGTGGCCCTCCCTGTGGAAGGGTCCAGGATACCCGGAGGTGACTCAGTTTAAAACACACACATCATGGAAAAAAAAAAAAAAAAAACTACACAAAGAGAGGCTGTTCATAGAGCCAAGGACTTGGACAGTAGCAGGGCAAGGCTGAGCTCCACCTCCTGCTTCAGATGCAGTCACTCACCCTGAGGCTGGAGCATGTGCTAGAGCAGGGAGCCCCAGGAAGACAGCTGGGACTAGGACAGCCACCAGCCTATTAGTTGTGTGCTTGGATATTTAACCTTTCTGAGCCTCAGTTTTCTCCTCTGTAAAATGTGGAGACTCCACCTACTTTACTAGGCCATGGGGAGGATTAAATGAGATGCTGTGTCTAAGTGCTTTTAAACCAAAGTCCTCTGTGGGAGTGAGAGCCACACACAACAGACCTTCTGGTGGCCGCAGGGAAGAAGACAATTCCTGATTCCCAATCAGCCTTGTTTGAAGAACACAGTACGGTAGTGACTGAGTCTGTTGGTCTGTCCTGAGATGAGGACAAGAAGAAGGCAGGGAATGAGACCCAGAAGGCTTTGGCCAGGGTGCACCCTTGGGAGTATCACAGGGTCACCCGAGGGAGCTATTTCCACCTGGCTTCAGTGTTCCGTATTCTGTGGAGCAGAAATCGCGTGTGGGGAGTCAGATTCCATGTTTGGATAAGGATAAGTGTTGTGTTTTTAAAAATCCAACCTAAACAAATTTCCCGTTGTGGGTCAAGATATTCTGTGCCCTGATACCCTGCTTGGAGACAGTGTTTAGGTTGTGTGGTGCTGTGGTTTCTACCCACTGAGTCTTGCAGATACTTGGTGCTTAGTGGCTGTTTGTTCATTAGGAACCTTTACTTAATGAACCTTTGCATTCCAGAGAGATGCAAAATTGACTGATTTAGGGGCATTTTTGTATTTTCGGTGTCTCAGTTTCCCATCTATGTCTCATCTCCACCCCAGCCCACATTCGTAATGGGGACTAATGAGTCTCTTATGCTCTGCATAAAGAGATGTCAGATTGAATGAAATGAAATGAAACTGGATTAAATTGCAGGGTTGTTGAACACAGGAATGTATGACTGGGACCAGGGGTTGTCTGCTCCCTGGGGGCCCTGGGAACAGGAAGAGGTTATCCAGAGAGGTTGGTTCTGGGAAGTCTTCCTGGAGGCAGGGGTATGTCTCCATGAAGCATTGCTAAAAAATAAGTTAAATATGGATAACGGAGCAATTTTAATAAACATTTTACTTTTAATATGTTTATAGTGTTGTTAATTATCTCTCTAAGTGGAGAAAATAGAAATTGTAGCACATTGAACAAAGATTGCTGATTAGGATAATAAAATGGAAATTTTAATCAAGACGATAACTTTAAGTCAAAGGAGGTTTTCTCTGAGGCTGCTGGAGCTTTCATCTTTATTAAACACCCCATTTGTCATCACTACTTCGTTCATCGCAAGCATTAGATTAATATTGACAATTTAAAATAGAAATAACTTTTTCTTGCCATTATGGTGCTGGTATGATAATGGTACCAGAGACTTTGCGGGAGCCATTGCAGGCTATCATGCATTCTCGCTGCTGTAGTTGGCAGGCAGTCTCTAGCCCAAACCTCAAGGCACCAGCCACTCAGGGAGGGGATCTGGTAGGGGGAGGGTTTTCCTGTCATCAAGCTTCTTCATGACGTGCAGTCCATTAAATCTTGTATGCTCTTTATTGAGAAAGCAAAAGGCTTTTGATGGCTTGAGGTTGTCTCTTCAGTGGTAGAACCATGCCCAAAGGTCAGGGGCCTCTATTTTTCAATCCAATACAAGAGCTATATTTTGAGTATCTGCAGGGTAGTGTGGAGATGCCAAAAGGCAGGCAAGACTCAGCCTTGTCCTGTGAAGATCACACCTATGCACAAGTCAGGAGCCTGAGTTTCAGATGAAGAGGAGGGACAGAAGTGCTCCAGAGGTTTAGGGAGTGGTTCTCAAAGTGTGGTGCTCGGGCCAGCAGCATCAGCACACACACTGGTCATGGAGTTCCACGGCTTTAACCAGTGGTTCTCAGACTTCAGCATCGAATCACGTAGAGGGCTTGTTGAAACAGATTGTTCCTCCCCTACCTTGAGTTTCCAATTACGTAGCTTTTGAATGGGGCCTAAAGAACAGCATTCTGCACAAGTTCCCAGGTGATGTTGATGATGCTGATCTGGAGACCACACTTTGAGAACCATTAATTTAGAGTGAGGAGAGACTACTAAGAGCAAAGCCAAGAGGAATTCACGGAGAAGAGTCCTTTTGGCTTTTCCAGGGGAAACAGAATCTCATCAAGCAGAGAGGAGGATGAGTGCCCTGGAAGGTAGAGGACCAGAGTCAGAAATGGGAAATTTGGAGGTCAACTGGCTCTGGGAAGAGGGTGTTTGGCTTACAAACATTTGCAGTTTTGCAGTTGAGATGGAGGTGGACTGGCACGTGGAGCCTGTAGTTGGAGATGGGGATCTCTGTTGCCAACTGTGGAGGGGGTATTGGCACATGAAAATGCAACAAGTGCCCGAGGACAGAGCTAGGAGATCATGGGTCTGTCCCTAGCATGGGTTCTGTTTCTGGATCGGAAACCATTTGTGCCAACTAGACAGTGGCACCAGCCCTCGCACGGCTGCCTCTTGAGATGCACTCCAGGCTGGGTCACCCCAGAAAGATCTGTGGGTCGGGGCCTATTACCCCATTCTTACTATCTGGGTTAATTGTTTTTCTCTACGTATCTGCCTTTGCTGGGCTGGGCTGGGGGGATATGCCTCCTTTAACTCTGCTCCAAGAAGCCTCTTACTGTGGGGAAAAGGACCACCATCCTGGGAAGAGGACCACCACCTGCCCATGTTATGTCTGCTGGATCTAGCTTTGGGGGTCACCAGCAGTGGGTGGCCTTGACCTTTGGGGTTCCTCTTCCAGGAGTTCCTCAACTGCTTCTGAGGGGCTGTGTTCTGGGGCTCCAGAGAAGACAGGGCTGCAGACACTCAGAGCTGCCTCATCTTTGGAGCCACTTCATTCTTCTACCTTCTCCAATCCTCTAGGGCTCCTTAAATGTGCTACATTCCTTTCTTAAAAGGCCTCTCTCTCTTCCTTGATCATAAAATTGCCAAGGAACAATGACTGTCATTTAAAACAGCAGCTTTAAAACTCCTTCCCCACCAGTTACTGCCATTGTCATCTCTGTCCCACATCAAAGCAGCAGGAGCTCCCCAGATAGAGAGGAAAGGTGGCCTCAGTTCTCTGTGCTGTGGGATGAGCTAGTCTGCTGGCGCTTCTCCACACCTGACCTCTCACTGGGTGAGACCTTCTCTGAGAAAAAGGGGTATTTCCAATCTTGCCCCCTGGGAATTCTCTCCTGGCCTGAAGGAAATGGGGCTTCAAGGCCCACAGGGTTGGGAACTTGATCTCACTGACTGTTCACTGTGGGGTGGGGCGGGGGATGGGGAAGTGTGGGGCAGGAAGAGGCCTGTGTCCCAGGCATGTGGTGAGAAGGGGCTGTGGGTGAGTCTGGGGGCTAACTTAGGAGTCTTGGTGCGGGCAGTTCATGCCAGCTCCAGAAGGCTTTGGAAATGTGTGCCTGAGCAAGGAGGAGCAGCAGGCATTGCCTGCTCCCGTGCTGGCTGTGAGTCTTCATTCCCTGTGATTATCTGCTCCACTCTGCATTCCCTGGGAGCTCTTGTAGCTACTCTGAGGGCACAAGGTGGGTGCAGACAGTGTCCCCATGGAGCAGGGTCAGCTGGAGCAGATCCTTCTAGCCTGTTGGTGCAGAGCCAGGAGGGCGTTCATCTGCTTCCCCACGGGGGCAGCAGATGCAGCTGGAAGGGAAATTGCATCACAATGGAAGGATGGGCCTTGGCCAGGGCCTGGACCAGGAAAGGCCTTTTTCCCCTCTTCCTGGTTGGACCACTGCATTCTTTCCTCCTGGGCCCTCCTTCATGGTATTTTAGTAATATCCTTGGTGGTGAAGTGATGGGATCTTTTGAAAGAGGATTGTAGGTACATCAACTGCATCAGAAACATCCACGCCCATCAGAAGGAGAACTGCAGCCTGAGAACGCCAAAGGGACATTTGGAGAGGGTAAAGTACCCATTCCTACGACCTCTTTGGGTGCCAGGTGTCCGTTCTGGGCAGTAAAGGTTGGGTGTGTGCGTGTGTGTGTGTTGTGTTGTGTGTGTCTGCATGTGTGTGTGAGGAAGAGCTAGATACATACTTATGCACCCCTAATTATCTATTGGTTTGTGCAAAGAATGACTAGGCCTGTCTTCAGCACCAGGCCACTGTCATGGGATAAGGGACAGGGGACAAGAAAAAGCAGCAAAACAGTGAGGTATAAGTGGAGAAGAGTGCTGGACCAAGTTGGGGTATCTGAACCCTAGGACTGACTGTGCTGCCCCCTGCTGTGAGCATGTGGTGGAGTAGCTTTCTTTCTCTGAGCCTCACAATCTCCTTCCATACTGTCAGAGGGCAGGTTGGGTCACTGCCAACTTGACT